GCAAAACTAAAACTCCCACTTTTTATTAGATTCTTTATCTTTAACCCCCACACCTCTCGCCAACACCCGAGCATTCACTTCTCTTACTACTACTTCTATAAATATATTGAACAACCATGGTGATATCATATATCTCTGTCAAAGGCCTACTTTTACTTGGAAATAATCTCCCTCTCTCCTACATACTCTAACCTGAGCCTCACTATCCTCGTAAAAACTTTTCACTGCTTTCAATAACCTACCTCCTATTCCATACAATTGCCATATCTGCCACATTGCCCCCCCTATCACACGTCTTTTCCTAATCCATAAATGCCACAAAAACCTCTTTACCCTTATCTACATACTGTTCACCTATGTGTTTCACTGCGAACACTTGGTCTACACACCCCCTACCTTTCCTAGAGCCTCCTTGTTCATCTGCTATCCTGCTCTCCATCTTACTCATAATTCTATCAATAATAACTCTACTATACACTTTACCAGGTATACTCAACAGACTTTTTCTTCTTTCAACAAACCGGCCGTATCCCACCAAGGCGGGATGGCCCAAAAAGAACAACAAAAATTTCTCTTTTTCAAATTTAGTAATTTATACAGAAGAAGGGGTTACTAGCCCCTTGCTCCCGGCATTTTAGTCGCTTCTTACAACACGCATGGCTTACGGAGGAAGAATTCTGTTCCATTTCCCCATGGAGATAAGAGGAAATAAGCAAGAACAAGCACTAGAAAGAAAATAGAAGACAACCCAGAGGGGTGTGTATATATATATGCTTGTACATATACATGTATGTGTAGTGTGACCTAAGTGTAAGAAGAAGTGGCAAGATGTACCTGAAATCTTGCATGTTATGAGACAGAAAAAAAGACACCAGCAATCCTACCATCATGTAAAACAATTACAGGTTTCTGTTTTACACTCACTTGGCAGGACGGTAGTACCTCCCTGGGCGGTTGCTGTCTACCAACCTACTACCTACAATGTGCATTATTATTATTATTATTATTAATAGAAGTGTAGAGGAGAGAGAGAGATTTTGGGAAATGTTGAGTGAATGCGTGGGGAGTTTTGAATCAGTGTGAGAGTAATGGTGGTTGGGGATTTCAATGCTAAAGTGGGTAAAAATGTTATGGAGGGAGTAGTAGGTAAATTTGGGGTGCCAGGGGGAAATGTAAATGGGGAGCCTTTAATTGAGCTATGGTAGAAAGAAATTTGGTAATAAAGTAATACATATTTTTTGAAAAAGAGGATAAATAAATATACAAGTATGATGTAGCACGTAACGAAAGTAGTTTTTTTAGATTAGTATTGGTGGATAAAAGGTTGATGGGTAGGCTCCAGGATGTACATGTTTATAGAGGGCAACTGATATATCGGATCATTATTTAGTTGTACTACAGTTAGAGTAAGAGGTAGATGGGAAAAGAGGAAGGTGGCAACAACAAGTAAGAGGGAGTGAAAGTGTATAAACTAAGGGAGGAGGAAGTTCGGGTGGATATAAGCGACTATTGGCAGAAAGGTGGGCTGGTGCAAAGATGAGTAGTGGGGGGGTTGAAGAGGGTTGGAATAGTTTTAAAAATGCAGTATTAGAATGTGGGCAGAAGTTTGTGTTTATAGGAGGGTGGGGCAGGAGGAAAGAGGAGTGATTGGTGGAATGATGAAGTAAAGGGTGTGATAAAAGAGAAAAAGGTAGCTTATGAAGGTTTTTACAAGCAGAAGTGCTATAAGAAGAGCAGAGTATATGGAGAGTAAAAGAAAGGTAAAGAGAGTGGTGAGAGAGTGCAAAAGGAGAGCAGATGAAAGAGTGGGAGAGGCACTGTCAAGAAATTTAATGAAAATAAGAAAAAATTTTGGAGTGAGTTAAACAAGTTAAGAAAGCCTAGGGAAAGTATGGATTTGTCAGTTAAAAACAGAGTAGGGAGTTAGTAGATGGGGAGATGGAGGTATTAGGTAGATGGCGAGAATATTTTGAGGAACTTTTAAATGTTAAGGAAGAAACAGAAGCAGTAATTTCATGCACTGGTCAGGGAGGTATACCATCTTTTAGGAGTGAAGAAGAGCAGAATGTAAGTGTGGGGGAGGTACGTGAGGCATTACGTAAAATGAAAGGGGTAAAAGCAGCTGGAACTGATGGGATCATGACAGAAATGTTAAAGAGGGGGGGATATAGTGTTGGAGTGGTTGGTACTTTTGTTTATAAATGTATGAAAGAGGGGAAGGTACCTAGGGATTGGCAGAGAGCATGTATAGTCCCTTTATATAAAGGGAAAGGGACAAAAGAGACTGTAAAAATTATAGAGGAATAAGCTTACTGAGTATACCAGGAAAAGTGTACGGTAGGGTTATAATTGAAAGATTAGAGGTAAGACAGAATGTAGGATTGCGGATGAGCAAGGAGGTTTCAGAGTGGGTAGGGGATGTGTAGATCAAGTGTTTACATTGAAGCATATATGTGAACAGTATTTAGATAAAGGTAGGGAAGTTTTTATTGCATTTATGGATTTAGAAAAGCATATGATAGAATGGATAGAGGAGCAATGTGGCAGATGTTGCAAGTATATGGAATAGGTGGTAAGTTATTAAATGCTGTAAAGAGTTTTTATGAGGATAGTGAGGCACAGGTTAGGGTGTGTAGAAGAGAGGGAGACTACTTCCTGTAAAAGTAGGTCTTAGACAGGATGTGTAATGTCACCATGGTTGTTTAATATATTTATAGATGGGGTTGTAAAGGAAGTAAATGCTAGGGTGTTCGGGAGAGGGGTGGATTAAATTTTGGCGAATCAAATTCAAAATGGGAATTGACACAGTTACTTTTTGTGATGATACTGTGCTTATGGGAGATTCTAAAGAAAAATTGCAAAGGTTAGTGGATGAGTTTGGGAATGTGTGTAAAGGTAGAAAGTTGAAAGTGAACATAGAAAAGAGTAAGGTGATGAGGGTGTCAAATGATTTAGATAAAGAAAAATTGGATATCAAATTGGGGAGGAGGAGTATGGAAGAAGTGAATGTTTTCAGATACTTGGGAGTTGACGTGTCGGCGGATGGATTTATGAAGGATGAGGTTAATCATTAGAATTGATGAGGGAAAAAAGGTGAGTGGTGCGTTGAGGTATATGTGGAGTCAAAAAACGTTATCTATAGAGGCAAAGAAGGGAATGTATGAAAGTATAGTAGTACCAACACTCTTATATGGGTGTGAAGCTTGGGTGGTAAATGCAGCAGCGAGGAGACGGTTGGAGGCAGTGGAGATGTCCTGTTTTAAGGGCAATGTGTGGTGTAAATATTATGCAGAAAATTCGGAGTGTGGAAATTAGGAGAAGGTGTGGAGTTAATAAAAGTATTAGTCAGAGGGCAGAAGAGGGGTTGTTGAGGTGGTTTGGTCATTTAGAGAGAATGGATCAAAGTAGAATGACATGGAAAGCATATAAATCTATAGGGGAAGGAAGGCGGGGTAGGGGTCGTCCTCGAAAGGGTTGGAGAGAGGGGGTTAAAGGAGGTTTTGTGGGCAAGGGGCTTGGACTTCAGCAAGCGTGCGTGAGCGTGTTAGATAGGAGTGAATGGAGACGAATGTACTTGGGACCTGTACGATCTGTTTGGAGTGTGAGCAGGGTAATATTTAGTGAAGGGATTCAGGGAAACCGGTATTTTCATATAGTCGGACTTGAGTCCTGGAAATGGGAAGTACAATGCCTGCACTTTAAAGGAGGGGTTTGGGATATTGGCAGTTTGGAGGGATATGTTGTGTATCTTTATATGTGTATGCTTCTAGACTGTTGTATTCTGAGCACCTCTGCAAAAACAGTGATAATGTGCGAGTGTGGTGAAAGTGTTGAATGATGATGAAAGTATTTTCTTTTTGGGGATTTTCTTTCTTTTTTGGGTCACCCTGCCTCGGTGGGAGACGGCCGACTTGTTGAAAAAAAAATGTGTTCATGAAACTCATGACTCAGTCCCATTTTTCATTACACTCTCATTATGCCATAAATCAATCGAGTTTTCTTATAAAGTCAATGCAGAAACATCAAATAACAAAGTACAGCCCCATACTTTGCATAGGCTAGGCTCCTGAAGCCAAAGTGAATTCTAAAACTGGATAACTGGAAAATTAAATTCACTTTTCTGGGTAATTTCTATGGTTTATTCCCATATTTCTTTACATTTTGCTCTACTCTGCTTAACAGTGACATTCATAAGAAAGATTGAGGCAATTTTAAATGAAATCCTATAGTTAACTGTCAATTTAGGAGTTGTGCAAGTAGAAAAACAGGCATGAAAGAGAAACCACGAATAATCAAAGCTATCTGTGAAATGGCCTTAGATAAAAAGCTGAATAAACAAATCCTGCAAATTATGAAGTATGCAAATTTCTGGGATTCAACTATGGCATTGAACATTTAAATTACCCAAAATTTTAATAATAGGTACAATAAGTTAATTTTTGTTTTACTATGGATCATTAAGAATTATGGTTCTAGCCATCAAAGCATTACAAATTGGACCATTAAGAGTTATAATTCTGGCCAGACAGTGGGTGAATGAATGATGGTTAACATTTTTTTTTTTCATCCTACCTTGCTGGGATGAAGTAAAAAGAAATTATTGAAATGTCATCTCCTATTCTTACATAAATATGATCACCACTTGGTTCATATTATTACTGAAATATTTTCTCTGATAAATGAAGATAAAGTTACAAAACAATTTTTTAATTGTAGCTACATAATTAAAAAAAAAATAAATAAAAAAAAATTTCATGATACATATCATTACAAAACCTTTGGAAGAACTGTGAAAGTCAATGCCAGCTTTCAAGTGACCATGTAAAAACTTGGTCAGATATAAACACCTTACATCACATATTTATGGAAAAAATTATATAATAATATGTTTATTTCTACAAGTACATGAATGTTTTCAGATATATGGGAGTTGACTTGTCAGCGGATGTGTTTATGAAGGATGAGGTTAACCATAGAACTGATGAAGTAAAAAAGGTGAGTGGTGCGTTGAGGTTAGCATATGTGGAGACAAAACGTTTTCTATTGAGGTAAAGAAGGGACTGTATGGAAGTATAGTGGTACCAACACTCTTATATGGGTGTGAAGCTTGGGTTGTGAATGCTGAGGCGAGGAGGCAGCGGGAAGAAGTGGAGATGTCCTGTCTAAGGGCAGTGGTGGTGTAAATATTATGCAGAGAATTTGGAGTGTGGAAATTAGGAGGTGTGGAGTTACTAAAAGTATTAGTCAGAGGGCTGAAGAGGGATTGTTGAGGTGGTTTGGTCATTCAGAGAGAATGGATTAAAGTAGAATGGCTTGGAGAGCATATAAATCAATAGGGGAAGGAAGGAAGGAGGGGTAGGGGTCATCCTCAAAAAGGTTACAGGAAGAGGGTAAAGGAGGTTTTGTGGGAGAGGGGCTTGGACTTCAAGCAAGTGTGTGTGAGCATGTTAGACAAGAGTAAATGGAGACAAATGGTTTTTGGGATTTGACAAGCTGTTGGGGTGTGAGCTGGGTAACATTTAGTGAAGGGATTCAGAGAAACCAGTTATTATAGATTTAGCCAGACTTGAGTCCTGGAAATGGGAAGTACAATGCCTGCACTTTAAAGGAGGGGTCTGGAACATGACAGTCTGGAGGGACTTCTAAACTGTCGTATCTGAGCACCTCTGCAAAGACAGTGATTATGTATGAGTGAGGTGAACGTGTTGAACGATGATAAAAGTATTTTCTTTTTGGGGATTTTTTTTTTTTTTTTGGTCACCCTGCCTCAGTAGGAGATGGCCGACTTGTTGGAAAAAAAAAAATGTACGAAGTATACAGGCCTAGCTGACATCAATGACATACTACTATATAGAAAATCACTTGTTATGCAGAGAATTTCGGGCAAATTAGGTCAATTTTGTTCCACGATGCGACCCAGACCAGTCGATTAACACCCAGGTACCCATTTTACTGATGAGTGAACATAGACAACCAGTAAATAACAAAAAAGGCACAATACCGTGACTGGAACTATACACAAATAACCCGCACATAAAAGAGAGAAGCTTACGACGACGTTTCGGTCCGACTTGGACCATTGACAAAGTCACACTGTGTGACTGTCAATGGTCCAAGTCGGACCGAAACGTCGTCGTAAGCTTCTCTCTTTTATGTGCGGGTTATTTGTGTATAGACAACCAGTGTAAGGAAACAAGCCCAATGTTTCTAGCTTTGCCAGGAATCGAATCCAGACACTCAGTGTGTGTAGCGAGAGCTTTTGCCACCAGGCCACGGACCACCATAAGGTAAGAAGTAGAAATAGAAAGGAAAAAGAATTTTATTGGCTCACCTCCAATACCCAATGTTGTAACTGTTTCAGACCCTCCGTCCACCGATCATTCCAGCGGTAACATAAAAAGCCCTCAACACGAAGCTGTTTCCAGATTAATGTTGCTTCACTGAAGGGGCCTAAATATATATAAAAACATTATTTTAGAAAATTAGGACCATTATAGCTTTTCTTTTTAGGACCTAGTACTATATACAGTGGACCCCCGCATAATGATCACCTCCGAATGCGACCAATTATGCAAGTGTATTTATGTAAGTGCGTTTGCACATGTATGTTTGGGGGTCTGAAATGGACTAATCTACTTCACAATATTCCTTATGGGAACAAATTCGGTCAGTACTGGCACCTGAACATACTTCTGGAGTGAAAAAATATCGTTAACCGGGGGTCCACTGTACAGCATTTTCAACCACAAGTCATCAATTTATACATTGAACACACCAGTTCCTGCTGAGGTAGGATAATCCCCCCCAGAAAAGGAAACCACATTCACCATCATTTATTAAATAACTTTGTTGTCAGAAGAGCACAAACATCAAAATTCAAATATCCCCATAAACTACAACATGGAGAACAAGAAGCAACAGCACAGAAAATACACTGGACAATACAGCCTCTCCTCGCTAAACAACGGGGTTCCATTCCTAAAAGTAGTTCAGTAAGCAAATTGGTCGTTAAGTGAGGAGCATACAATACTGGTAGTGGGTTTGTGTCAATCATCTTTAAATATTATTTTAATATCACCTTTGCACCATTTATAACATTTCTAGCATATTTTTAGACGTTTATACACTAGTGTACTGTATACTGTAATAAACAGAATAGAGGAAATCAGCTCTAATATACATTACTTAGGTTTGCCTACTGGTTGGAGAGCTGGCCGTAAGTCCAAGTGGTTGGTAAACGAGTACGTCGCTCGGTGAGGAGAGCCTGTATCTGCTTACAGAGTGACTTATAACGAGAAAGGGATCCAAGAAGAGGTGGTGTACTAAAATTACCATACTAGAAAGTTTCAAAAGTTATAACACACTGAAAACACTAAATACTGAAGACAGGACACAAGAAACATAACTCTGCAAAAAACATACAGTACAGGAAGGCCCTGCATATTTGGCACCCTCTTTTCAGTGTTCCACGTTTTCGGTGGTTTTCAAATGAGCCACTGTTCATTATGTTCAGTACTTTATCTGCCTTTCTACACAACAGCTGCATAAGGGTAAGGGCAACCAGTGTCATATTCTAAGGTAAGTACTGTATGTACTGTGTATTTGTTTTACTTTTGTATCTGTTTTTTTATGTCTAGCTGTATCAAGCACTTAATACATGATGATAGTATAAAAACGTTATCAGGCATTTTAGACACATTCAGTACAGTGGAGCCTCTACTTACGAGTTTAATCCGTTCTGTGACCTTGCTCACATCTGGATTTGCTTGTTTGCAGAGTCAATTTTCCTCATTTAAATTAATTGATATGAATTAATCCGTTCCAGTGGAATACCAGGCATGACAAAATCCTTCAATAATTTTCCTAATATCAACTCTATGGTTTATTTATCTATCACCATTCATCTAATATGACATAATAAACAATATTAATAACATAGAAACATGATATATACACTAGGATGAATAAAATACATGTCATTACGTATGTGGTTAGTGGTGATGACAGCAGCCATTGTTGTTGTTGGGGTTTATAGGGCCACCACAGCAGCCATCTCTGCTCCTGACTACATGTGTAGAGAACCTAGGATAACCCAAAAAAGTCAGACACTGCTGTTTCATGTTGTCTGCCACTGCTGCTTCATGATGTCTACCACTGCTGCTTCATGTTGTCTGCCACTGCTACCTCATGTCTGCCACTGCTGCTTCATGTTGTCTGCCACTGCTACCTCATGATGTCTGCTCCCACTTTTGCTAGCATGCTGAAGAACTTTCCAATATGTGAAGGTTGAGGGGCAGTGCCAATCAGACAGGTACTGGACTGTGACATCATATGTTTACTCTTGTACGTCGCCAAAGAATTGAACATTTCTGCTACTTTGAGCTCAATTTCAAGGTACTTTTTGTCATGAAACCAATCAAAATCATGTCTATTTCTGTAGTATATCTTCCATTCTATCAAATGAGACCAAAAAAACGAGAATACAACCATAAAAACCATACGAAAATACACCGCTAAAGGGAGGCCAATGAGAAATGAACTCCTATATTTATGGTCCAATTTCTTTCATTTTTGGTGTATGTTAAGAAGCATCTGTCCATCACACATTGCCCAAGTTTCAATAAGATAATCCAATAAACAAATGAGATCCAATTCCCTAGATCAAGAGCAAGAGCCCCTCACCAGAGTCAAGGAACCTCCCTTGAGGCCTGCTCACATCTGGAAATTTTGCTTGCATCTGGAAGCAAAAAATTGACCGAGTGACTGCTTGTATCTGGAAAAACTCGCACGTGGATGCACTCTTAAGTAGAGGTTCCACTGTATTAAAAAAAAAAAAAAAAAAAAAAAAAAAAAAAAAAAAAAAAAAAGCTTTTCCACCCAACTTTGATTTTCATTTATCACTGAGGGTCAGAAACATAACAGCTATAGAAAAGGGGCCCTCATGTATAGGTATGGTACTGCAATCACAAATAATTACACACATATGCCTACAAGTGCACAATGTGCATACATATCCATGACCAGTTTTGGGTTTCTTACTCCTGCAGCTTGGCCTGTGGAAGAAGAAGAAAAAGAAGAAAAAGAAGAAGAAGAAGAAGAAAAAGAAAAAGAAGAAAAAGAAAAAGAAAAAGAAAAAGAAGAAAAAGAAAAAAAGAAAAAAGAAAAGAAGAAGAAAAAAAAAAGAAGAAGAAAAGAAAAGAAGAAGAAAAAGAAGAAAAAGAAAAAGAAAAGAAAAAGGAAAAAAAAGAAAAGAAAAGAAAAGAGAAAAGAAAAAGAAAGAGAGAAAAGAAAAAGAAAGAAAAAGAAAAGAAAAGAAAAAGAAAAGAAAAAGAAAAAAGAGAAAGAAAAAGAAAAAGAAAAAGAAAAAGAAAAAGAAAAAGAAAAAGAAAAAGAAGAAGAAGAAGAAGAAGAAGAAGAAGAAGAAGAAGAAGAAGAAGAAGAAGAAGAAGATAAAATAACTCTTTTTAAACATACTTGTTAGAGAGACAGCACCAATGTCCTTGCTGTCATCATTGTAGGTGGAGATGGCACCACAGACAGACACTCTGCATAAATCTGCTAAATGAGGCAGCACCTCTGCAGAAAACTGTCCACCAACCTAAAAACCAATATTTAATTGTATTCTGGCAGAATAATATAATATTAGCCATTAAGGAACAGAAAAACACATTGACTGTTATCCAAGAAATATCACACTTCCATGAAAAATGGTTTCTTCAATTACACATAAATTTCCTGACTTTTCATCACAAAGAACTCATTCTTTCAAAATCTAGCAAAAATATCACTTAAAAACAATATTAGATTTCAATTTTTTTAAATATCTACTCAAATGTTATTAACCCTTTCAGGGTTTCTGATGAACTAGTACAGTTAACGCACCAGGGTTATTGACGTACCAATACACCTAAATTCTAGCGCCTTCAAATCTAGTAAGGGAAAGCTGGTAGGCCTACATATGAAAGAATGGGTCTATGTGGTCAGTGTACACAGTATAAAAAAATCCTGCAGCACAGTGCATAATGAGAAAAAAAAAAAAAACTCCGACCGTGTTTTTGGTTTAAAATGGCGACTTTGTAGTGCATTTTCATACGGTATTTATGGTTGTATTTTAAGTTTCCTGGTCTCATTTTATAGAATGGAAGACATATTACAGAAATTGAGATGATTTTGATTTTTTTCACAAGGAAAAGTATCTTGAAATTGACCTCAAAGTAGCAGAAATGTTCGACTTTTACCAAAGTTCAAAAGTAAACAAATCATGCCAAGCGTCCAATACACGTCAACTGGTGAATCTAATATTCTTTCACAAGTGCCCTGGTATTATTTATACCATTTCTACACTAATGCAGTAGTCTGCATAACAGTAAATCTTCTATTTTTTTGTGAGAATAAAAATTCAAAGTGGAAAGCAAAAGAGATGTAAGAGGGGCCTGGGAATGTGATTAATAAACAGAGAAAATGTTATTTTAGTGCCAGGAATGTCTGTCTTGTTTATTCTGGACCCTATTTGGAAATTTGCCTCTTATGAAATTTGTGTGAAATTGGCAAAATTGCCAATTTCTGACCACTTTATTGGATAGTTGAATCGGTAAATAGGTGGTTTCTTGTACTCACTCGATAGAAAAAATGGAGTTCTAGCAAAATATATATGATTTTTGTCGACTAGTACACTGGAATTGGCTGAAAATAGGGCTCAAAGTGGGCAAAATCGCCGATGCGTAAACATTGTCGAGACCGCTAACTTTGCAAGAGCCTAATTCCATAAGTTTTCCATCAAATTTCATATTTTTGGAGTCATTATGATTGGGAAAAGATTCTCTATCATTTCATGAGATTTTTTTTTTTTCCGAAAAATTTTCGACCCTGAGAACGAGATTTAGGAGAGGGCCTCTCGACCCTGAAAGGGTTAAGGTCCGAGGAAAAATTCATAAATAAAAGCAAAAAGGAAAATGTATCAACAGGATATATTGAGCAATGAATGATGCCCAATGTACCCTGTTGAATGATGCCAAGAGGTTATCAGTAAGAGCTAGGAGCCTTACTAATCACCTTCACCAACAGGATGGAACATACTACTGGAAGTTACAAAATTTTAAAAAACACTACGTGATACTCAACTATGTCCTTTTCAACCATTAATGAGTTAACCTAAATTACATCTGCATAATTTACTACTAATGTATACCTGTAACAATTACTGTTTGTGCTTGCTGGAACATTTAAAAAAAAAATGAATGCTGGCCATGAAATCTAAATTTTCTTGAACATTTTTATTATCACACTGGCCGATTCCCACCAGGGCAGGGTGGCCCGAAAAAGAAAAACTTTCACCATAATTCACTCCATCACTGTCTTGCCAGAAGGGTGATTTACACTACAGTTTTTAAACTGCAACATTAACACCCCTCCTTCAGAGTGCAGGCACTGTACTTCCCATCTCCAGGACTAAAGTCCGGCCTGCCGGTTTCCCTGAACCCCTTCATGAATGTTACTTTGCTCACACTCCAACAGCACGTCAAGTATTAAAAACCATTTGTCGCCATTCACTCCTATCAAACACGCTCACGCATGCCTGCTGGAAGTCCAAGCCCCTCGCACACAAAACCTCCTTTACCACCTCCCTCCAACCTTTCCTAGGCCGACCCCTACCCCGCCTTCCTTCTACTACAGACTGATACACTCTTGAAGCCATTCTGTTTCGCTCCATTCTCTCTACATGTCTGAACCACCTCAACAACCCTTCCTCAGCCCTCTGGACAACAGTTTTGGTAATCCCGCACCTCCTCCTAACTTCCAAACTACGAATTCTCTGCATTATATTCAAACCACACATTGCCCTCAGACATGACATCTCCACTGCCTCCAGCTTTCTCCTCGCTGCAACATTCATCACCCATGCTTCACACCCATATAAGAGCGTTGGTAAAACTATACTCTCATGCATTCCCCTCTTTGCCTCCAAGGACAAAGTTCTTTGTCTCCACAGACTCCTAAGTGCACCACTCACCCTTTTCCCCTCATCAATTCTATGATTCACCTCATCTTTCATAGACCCATCCGCTGACACGTCCACTCCCAAATATCTGAATACATTCACCTCCTCCATACTCTCTCCCTCCAATCTGATATCCAATCTTTCATCACCTAAACTTTTTGTTATCCTCGTAACCTTACTCTTTCCTGTATTCACTTTTTTCTTCTTTTGCATACCCTACCAAATTCATCCACCAATCTCTGTAAATTCTCTTCAGAATCTCCCAAGAGCAGTGTTATCAGCAAAGAGCAACTGTGACAACTCCCACTTTGTGTGATTCTTTATCTTTTAACGGTGACATCACACATCCTTGTCTAAGGCCTACTTTTACTGGGAAATAATTTCCCTCTTTCCTACATACTCTAACTTGAGCCTCACTATCCTCGTAAAAACTCTTCATTGCTTTCAGTAACCTACCTCCTACACCATACACCTGCAACATCTGACACATTGCCCCCCTATCCACCCTGTCATATGCCTTTTCCAAATCCATAAATGCCACAAAGACCTCTTTAGCCTTATCTAAATACTGTTCACTTATGTGTTTCACTGTAAACACCTGGTCCACACACCCCCTACCTTTCCTAAAGCCTCCTTGTTCATCTGCTATCCTATTCTCCGTCTTACTCTTAATTCTTTCAATAATAACTCTACCATACACTTTACCAGGTATACTCAACAAACTTATCCCCCTATAATTTTTGCACTCTCTTTTGTCCCCTTTGCCTTTATACAGAGGAACTATGCATGCTCTCTGCCAATCCCTAGGTACCTTACCTTCTTCCATACATTTATTAAATAATTGCACCAACCACTCCAAAACCTATATCCCCACCTGCTTTTAACATTTCTATCTTTATCCCATCAATCCCGGCTGCCTTACCCACTTTCATTTTACCTACTGCCTCACGAACTTCCCCCACACTCACAACTGGCTCTTCCTCACTCCTACAAGATGTTATTCCTCCTTGCCCTATACACGAAATCACAGCTTCCCTATCTTCATCAACATTTAACAATTCCTCGAAATATTCCCTCCATCTTCCCAATACCTCTAACTCTCCATTTAATAACTCTCCTCTCATATTTTTAACTGACAAATCCATTTGTTCTCTAGGCTTCCAAAACTTTTTTTTTTTTTTTTTTTTTTTTTACACAGGGTTTGACAAGGTTAGGTTAAGGATCCCTAGCTTTATTGACAAGCTATTTACAGGTTAAGGATTCCTAACTTTATTGGCAAGCTAAGAGCTGTTACCTACATCAGCTCATTTGAAAGCATTTTTATTGTTATGAGACATACAAGTAGGGAACAGGATGAAGTTGGAGCCATCTGTGGGCCAGCATTTTCATTTGATCAACTGACTTTATCTCGTTGACATCATTATGCTGTACGAATGTGTTCCATACTCGAGTCATCCTGGGTATATAGGATCTCAGATGGAGTTATGTTCTGGAGAAGGGCACAGCCAGAGTGAAGTTGCTGCTTTCTGCCCTTCTTGTCGCATAAAAGCTTGTTTCACGCTGTCCTCGAAGTGGATCCAAGTGTGGTACTTTGACAATATTGGCCTTGTACATAACAGTAAGGCCACCCACATCACTCCTGTGTTGAAGGCTCTGCTGAAATGACAGATCTATCCAGGATGGGTCCAGGCAATAGATGAGACGTCTTGCTCTGTTCTCTACTCTGTCAAGCAGCCGCAGATGAGAGGGGAAGCAGGCAAACCAAGAAAGTGGAGCATACTCAAGGTGCGAGCGTACTTGTGCCTCATACAGAATCTTGCAACCCCTACTGTCAAGTAGATGCGAGATACGGCGAAGTGCTGTAAGCTTCCTGGCTGCCTTGTTTGCAAGATTTACAACATGGTTCTTCATGGTTAGTTTGGAGTCAAATTTCACCCCAAGGATATCAACTTCTTCTCCAGGTGCCAACACCCTCCCATTCATCCTTACTACTGCACCAGCATTACCATCATGGTGCCTAGAGACGATCATCATTTGCGTTTTCTCAGGCGCAAATGTTATTTGCCATCTATTTCCCCAAGCTGATATAGCTCTCAGCTGGTGATTGATGTAGCTTAGAGCAGCTGCCATTTCTTCTCTTGGATAAACGAATGTCAGTGTGCAGTCGTCTGCATATGCATGTGATTCTGGGATGAGATGAAGAAGGCCGTTGAAGTAGACATTCCATAACAATGGTCCCAGCACGCTTCCTTGTGGAACACTTGCCCCAATAGGATGTCTTGCTGATTCTGTTCCATTGAGAACTACACTTAGAGATCTACCATGAAGGTAATCACTGAGGAGACATAGTGTAGAGCCTGCAAGTCCCAGTGCTTGAAGTTTTGCTAAGAGGCCCTGGTGCCACACCCAGTCGAAAGCGCCAGCAATGTCCAGTGCTACCACACAGCTGACTTTGGATTCATCCAGTGATTGGTGCCACTTAGTGGAGAGGTTTAACAACAGATCAGCAGCAGAGTAACCTTTCCTGAAGCCATATTGACAATCACAAAGTAGTGAGTGATAGTCAAAAAACTCTGTCATTTGTCTTGAGATTATTGTCTCAAGGATCTTACCAGTGATTGACAGGAGTGACACTGGTCTGTAGTTGCTGATTTCTGCTCTGCTCTTCTTTTTGAGAACAGAGACTACATTTGCCTCTTTCCATAGAGAGGGCCATTTACACTGTACTAGGCAGTGCTGAAAGATGAGAGTTAGAGGTGATGCTAGCTGGTCTGCACATCTTCTCAGCAATCTTAGGATTAACTTGTCTGGGCCCACAGCCTTTTCTTGGTCAAGCGATTTAAGAAGGAAATGCACGTCCTCCTGCCTTATTGTCACCACTGACAGTTTTGACACAGTTTTTGCAGCTAGCCAAGGAGGGTCCCTCCAAAACTTTTTCTTATTTTCAACAAAATTTGTTGATAACATCTCACCCACTCTCTCATTTGCTCTCTTTTTACGTTGCTTCACCACTCTCTTAACCTCTCTCTTTTTCTCCATATGCTCTTCCCTCCTTGCATCACTTCTACTTTGTAAAAACTTCTCATATGCTAACTTTTTCTCCCTTACTACTCTCTTTACATCATCATTCCACCAATCGCTCCTCTTCCCTCCTGCACCCACTTTCCTGTAACCACAAACTTCTGCTGAACACAAATAATCCGCACTTATGTGACAAACTCATGGCGACATTCTGGTCCAAACTGGACTATTAATTAATGCTTATATTACAATTCTTTCTTCTCTCAATATTTTGGTATCACCATAGTCAATTTACTTACATTGTCAAAGTAACAGTTGATGTTCTCTGGTGCAGCCTGACTCAGTGCTTCACCAATATTTGTTGTCTTGTAGTTAAAGGCATAGTCAGCTCCTAGCTCCTTGACCCATGCAACCTTCTCATCTGATCCAGCAAAGGCAATTACCTTGCAACCTGAGAATACATGTGACTGCATTAGAGCTTAAGAAAACTAAAGCCTTCTAGAGAACACACAGTACTCACTAATATGTGACACATCAAATGAAGAGTGTACCAAATATTTTATTAGCCAATTCAAAGCTCCACTTATTCTCCATATCATGGTTAAATTTGTTTTCTCAATGTTTAAATTATAAGTATTAAGTTTACAGATGTAAAGTAGTAATAATAGTAAGATAAGACAGCAGTAGTTCTGATATTTACAAAGCATTTAAGTATTCATACCAATAAAAATAATGACATACAACACATACAATAAAGAAAACAGTAACAGCTACAAATGAATAAAATATACAAAACAAATAAAAATAAATTTAAGACCCAAATTCAGCTGTATGCCAGTCAATATTTAATGTGGACTCCAAGAAATAAAAACAACTACAAGTTCAACGAGCAAAATTAAAGGAAACATTATATTATACTGACATGTACTGACAATGGTCTTAGTACTCAAAATAAATATGGTGAACAATAATGAAGGACATTTAAAAACTAGTAGGTAGTAGGTTGGTAGACAGCAACCGCCCAGGGAGGTACTACCATCTTGCCAAGTGAGTGTAAAACGAAAACCTGTAATTGTTTTACATGATGGTAGTATTGCTGGTGTCCATTTTTCTGTCGCGTAAACATGCAAGGTTTCAGGTACGTCTTGCTACTTCTACTTACACTTAGGTCAGTCTTGCTACTTCTACTTACACTTAGGTCACACTACACATACATGTACAAGCATATATATACACACCCCTCTGGGTTTTCTTCTATTTTCTTTCTAGTTCTTGTTCTTGTTTATTTCCTCTTATCTCCATGGGGAAGTGGAACAGAATTCTTCCTCCGTAAGCCATGCGTGTTGTAAGAGGCGACTAAAATGCCGGGAGCAAGGGGCTAGTAACCCCTTCTCCTGTATATATTACTAAATGTACAAGGAGAAACTTTCGTTTCTCCTTTTGGGCCACCCCGCCTCGGTGGGATACGGCCAGTGTGTTGAAAGAAAGATTTAAAAACTATTACTCCAAATCATTATTTTCAATTAGCCTAGCCCCAGCCTAATATGCTGTTGTATATCAATTATAGTTTAACCACATACTAACAAATTGTTATCTATTAACTAGTTTAACCATACTCACAGGCTATTATGTATCAACTCCAACTTTTCTTTGCCTTCGTAAAAATGTTTTAAGAGAGATCGATAAGTATGGTTAGGTATCATGTTTCCTTATACAGCTCTAAAGTTTAAATTTTATAATTGCTGTTTCAACACAGTCATCACCTTGTCTGTCACAATTCCAATTATTAAATCTAGTTCTTAATTAATATCTACCAAATACACGAGTCCTCCACACACATAAAATGAACGCACAAAAATAAGAATGTATTTGGTGAAAAAAAATAATGAAGATAAAACATTCCCCCCCCCCAACAAAAAAAAACTTTAAAAATTATTGTATTTGCAGATCAGCATTCTTAAGAAAGTAACTGATTCCAGTGTGCCTCATTTTGTGACTAAGAACATAAGAAAGAAGGAACACTGCAACAGGCCTGACCCATGCGGAGCCGGTCCATGTCCCCCCCCCCCCCCCCCCCCGGATTATCCCAATGACCCACCCAGTCTGGTCATCCCTACTCAAGGATGGAGCACTGTACCAGACCCAGCAGCAAAGCTAGTCAGGTCCAACTCACACCCACCCACACCCACTCATGTATTTATCTAACCTATTTTTAAAACTACACAACGTTTTAGCCTCAATAACTGTACTCGGGAGCTTGTTCCACTCACCCACAACTCTATTACCAAACCAGTGCTTTAGTATATCCTTCCTGAATCTGAATTTTTCCAACTTGAAACCATTGCTGCGAGTCCTGTCTTGGCTGGAAATTTTCAGCACACTATTTACATCCCCTTTATTTATTCCTGTTTTCCATTTATACACCTCGATCATATCTCCCCTAATTCTACGCCTTTTGAGAGAGTGCAGATTCAGGGCCCTCAGTCTATCCTCATAGGGAAGATTTCTGATACATGGGATCATCTTTGTCATCCTCCTTTGTACGTTTTCCAGAGCAGTTATATCCATTCTGTAATACGGTGACCAGAACTGAGCAGCATAGTCTAAATGAGGCCTAACCAAGGATATATAGAGTTGAAGAACAACCTGAGGACTTCTATTATTTATACTTCTAGATATGAAGCCAAGAATTCTGTTAGCTTTATTGCGAACACTAATGCACTGTTGTCTTGGTTTTAGATTACTGCTAACCAGAACTCCTAAATCCTTTTCGCAATCAATAGTATTAAGATCTACATTATTTAGTTTATATGTGGCATGGTTATTTAACTGTCCAACATTCAGAACTTTGCATTTATCAATATTAAACTGCATCTGCCACTTCTCCGACCATTGCGTCAGTCTATTCAAATCATCCTGGAGTGCTCTAATGTCCTCATTAGAATGAATTGGATGGCCTATTTTGGCGTCATCAGCAAATTTGCTTATGTCGCTATTTATTCCCTCATCTATGTCGTTTATGTAAATTGTGAACAACAATGAGCCCAACACCGACCCCTGAGGAACACCGCTTGTGACGTGCCCCCATTCTGGTCTCTCCCCATTTATGCAAACTCTCTGCTGTCTATTTGTCAGCCATGCCTCTACCCAGGAAAAAATTTCTCCTCCTATCCCGTGTGCCCTAAGTTTCTTCAATAGCCTCTGGTGTGGAACTCTATCGAAAGCCTTACTGAAGTCCATATACACAATATCATATTCATTACCATGATCTACCTCCTCAAACACCTTTGTGAAAAAAGTTAGTAAATTCTTAAGACAGGAACGCCCCTTTGTAAAACCGTGTTGAGAATCATTAATCAATCTGTGCCTGTCAAGATGGCTACGAATTGCTTCAGCAATTATTGATTCCATTAATTTTCCCACTATGGAGGTAAGGCTTATTGGTATATAGTTCGAAGCCAAGGATCTGTCACCTGCCTTGTAAATAGGTATTACATTTGCCATTTTCCACTTATCAGGCACTATGCCAGTTTGTAGTGATATGTTAAAAAGATTAGCCAAAGGTATGCTAAGTTCCTCTTTTTTTTATTATTTTTTTATTACCACACTGGCCAATTCCCACCAAGGCAGGGTGGCCTGAAAAAGAAAAACTTTCACCATCATTCACTCCATCACTGTCTTGCCAGAAGGGTGCTATACACTACAGTTTTTAAACTGCAACATTAACACCCCTCCTTCAGAGTGCAGGCACTGTACTTCCCATCTCCAGGACTCAAGTCCGGCCTGCCGGTTTCCCTGAACCCCTTCATAAATGTTACTTTGATCACACTCCAACAGCACGTCAAGTATTAAAAACTATTTGTCTCCATTCACTCCTATCAAACACGCTCACGCATGCCTGCTGGAAGTCCAAGCCCCTCGCACACAAAACCTCCTTTACCCTCTCCCTCCAACCTTTCCTAGGCCGACCCCTACCCCGCCTTCCTTCCACTACAGACTGATACACTCTTGAAGTCACTCTGTTTCGCTCCATTCTCTCCACATGTCCGAACCACCTCAACAACCCTTCCTCAGCCCTCTGGACAATAGTTTTGGTAATCCCGCACCTCCTCCTAACTTCCAAACTACGAATTCTCTGCATTATATTCACACCACACATTGCCCTCAGACATAACATCTCCACTGCCTCCAGCCTTCTCCTCGCTGCAACATTCATCACCCATGCTTCACACTCATATAACAGCGTTGGTAAAACTATACTCTCATACATTCCCCTCTTTGCCTCCAAGGACAAAGTTCTTTGTCTCCACAGACTCCTAAGTGCGCCACTCACCCTTTTCCCCTCATCAATTCTATGATTCACCTCATCTTTCATAGACCCATCCGCTGACACTTCCACTCCCAAATATCTGAATACATTCACCTCCTCCATACTCTCTCCCTCCAATCTGATATCCAATCTTTCATCACCTAATCTTTTTGTTATCCTCATAACCTTACTCTTTCCTGTATTCACTTTTAATTTTCTTCTTTTGCACACCCTACCAAATTCATCCACCAATCTCTGCAACTTCTCTTCAGAATCTCCCAAGAGCACAGTGTCATCAGCAAAGAGCAACTGTGACAACTCCCACTTTATGTGTGATTCTTTATCTTTTAACGCCACGCCTCTTGCCAAGACCCTCGCATTTACTTATCTTACAACCCCATCTATAAATATATTAAACAACCATGGTGACATCACACATCCTTGTCTAAGGCCTACTTTTACTGGGAAATAATTTCCCTCTTTCCTACATACTCTAACTTGAGCCTCACTATCCTCGTAAAAACTCTTCACTGCTTTCAGTAACCTACCTCCTACACCATACACCTGCAACATCTGCCACATTGCCCCCCTATCCACCCTGTCCTACACCTTTTCCAAATCCATAAATGCCACAAAGACCTCTTTAGCCTTATCTAAATACTGTTCACTTATATGTTTCACTGTAAACACCTGGTCCACACACCCCCTACCTTTCCTAAAGCCTCCTTGTTCATCTGCTATCCTATTCTCTGTCTTACTCTTAATTCTTTCAATAATAACTCTACCATACACTTTACCAGGTATACTCAACAGACTTATTTTTTTTTTTATTATCACACCGGCCGATTCCCACCAAGGCAGGGTGGCCCGAAAAAGAAAAACTTTCACCATCATTCACTCCATCACTGTCTTGCCAGAAGGGTGCTTTACACTACAGTTTTTAAACTGCAACATTAACACCCCTCCTTCAGAGTGCAGGCACTGTACTTCCCATCTCCAGGACTCAAGTCCGGCCTGCCGGTTTCCCTGAATCCCTTCATAAATGTTACTTTGCTCACACTCCAACAGCACGTCAAGTATTAAAAACCATTTGTCTCCATTCACTCCTATCAAACACGCTCACGCATGCCTGCTGGAAGTCCAAGCCCCTCGCACACAAAACCTCCTTTACCCCCTCCCTCCAACCCTTCCTAGGCCGACCCCTACCCCGCCTTCCTTCCACTACAGACTGATACACTCTTGAAGTCATTCTGTTTCGCTCCATTCTCTCTACATGTCCGAACCACCTCAACAACCCTTCCTCAGCCCTCTGGACAACAGTTTTGGTAATCCCGCACCTCCTCCTAACTTCCAAACTACGAATTCTCTGCATTATATTCACACCACACATTGCCCTCAGACATGACATCTCCACTGCCTCCAGCCTTCTCCTCGCTGCAACATTCATCACCCACGCTTCACACCCATATAAGAGCGTTGGTAAAACTATACTCTCATACATTCCCCTCTTTGCCTCCAAGGACAAAGTTCTTTGTCTCCACAGACTCCTAAGTGAAACCACTCACTCTTTTTTCCCTCATCAATTCTATGATTCACCTCATCTTTCATAGACCCCATCCGCTGACACGTCCACTCCCAAATATCTGAATACGTTCACCTCCTCCATACTCTCTCCTCCAATCTGATATTCAATCTTTCATCACCTAATCTTTTTGTTATCCTCATAACCTTACTCTTTCCTGTATTCACCTTTAATTTTCTTCTTTTGCACACCCTACCAAATTCATCCACCAATCTCTGCAACTTCTCTTCAGAATCTCCCAAGAGCACAGTGTCATCAGCAAAGAGCAGCTGTGACTTATCCCCCTATAATTTTTGCACTCTCTTTTGTCCCCTTTGCCTTTATACAAAGGAATTATGCATGCTCTCTGCCAATCCCTAGGTACCTTACCCTCTTCCATACATTTATTAAATAATTGCACCAACCACTCCAAAACTATATCCCCACCTGCTTTTAACATTTCTATCTTTATCCCATCAATCCCGGCTGCCTTACCCCCTTTCATTTTACCTACTGCCTCACGAACTTCCCCCACACTCACAACTGGCTCTTCCTCACTCCTACAAGATGTTATTCCTCCTTGCCCTATACACGAAATCACATTCCTTTAACACCCTTGCAAACAGTTCATCAGGACCTGGAGATTTGTTAGGTTTTAGTTTCTCTATTTGTCTGAGGACCATGTCACTAGTTACCGCTATCGTACATAGTTTATCATCCTGCTCTACGTAATCCATTTCAGGAATATCGCTAGTATTTCCTGGGTGAAAACTGAGAGGAAGTAGGTATTTAGTATTTCACACATATCCTTATCACTGTCAGTGATTTGACCAGAGTTACTCTTAAGTGGGCCAATCTTGTCCCTAATCTTACTTCTGTATACCTGAAAGAACTCTTTTGGGTTAGTCTTTGAATCCCTTGCAACCTTAGCCTCATAATCCCTTTTTGCTTTTCTTATTCCATTTTTTATTTCTCTCTTTAATTGAATATATTGATTTCTTAACTGCCCATCCCCTCTTTTGATACGCCTATATATGCCCCTCTTTTGACCAATGAGATGTTTTAATCTATTGTTCATCCATTTGGGATCATTTTTGTTAGATCTAATTTCCCTACTCGGAATAAAAGTTGTCTGGGCAGCTAGAACTATGCTCTGAAAAACGTCATATTGGCAACCAAGATCACCTACCTGACCCATAGTCAGGACATCCCAATTTAGCCCACCCAAGTAATTTTTCAGTCCCATGAAGTCGGCCAAGCGAAAATCTGGGACAGAGATTTGAAGAACATAACTCGGGGACCTACTGTACATACTGCAATTAATTTGACCGTTCTTATACACTTTCCATTTCAGTTTTTCCTTATTTTTAGCCAGACCAGTGCACCTAACCCCCCTTTCTCATTGCTGAAGGTACAAAAATCTGTTAGTACAGGTTTAATGAAATTTTGGGGGCATTCAACTCTTATGAAAAGAGAGGGTTTTCACATACAGTGGAGTATTTACAATATTTTTTTACAGTAACTATTATTCTCACCTTTCATCTTAGCAATCTGCACCACAATACTACCTACAGCTCCTGCAGCACCATTCACCAGCACTGTCTCGCCTGCCTTAGGCTGGCAAATTTCTAAAAATCCAAAATATGCTGTAATCCTGTAAGAAAAAACATAATAGGTTTCAAATAAATAAACACTTCCATCAGTTGAAAAATACATAAATACCAGCAAAAATTTGTTAAAAGTTCCGATGTTTCTGTGGAATTATGGTACTGAATGTACAGTTGTATCTGACTTACGAGTGCTCCAACTTGCAAGTTTTCCGGGTTACGAGCCGTTGCTTGGTCGATTTTTTGCTTTGAGTTGCGAGCCAAAATCCAAGTTACGAGCGAGCTTCAGATATGCCGCCATTCGCAGGAGATACCGAGGAAATATCAAAAACCTCAGTAATAACCAATGTGTAACATCCTTTCAATTTTGTTACCACTGGTAGTGTCATCCTGCCAGAATGTTCTATAACGTATGCCCTAAGTAAAGAGAAAATTCTGGATGTGTAATACATGTTCAGCAGGCCGGCTGGTTGGGTGGCTGGTTGGCTGGCCAGCTGGGTGACCGGCTGACTGGCGGATTTGCATTGGCTGTCTCTGTCTCCTGTCTGTCTGTATCTGTCTCTGTTTGTGTGTGTCTATCTCTGTCTCTATTTGTCTCTATCTTAGTCTATCTCTGTCTTTGTCCATCTCTATCTGTCTCTGTCTTTGTCTATCTGTCTCTCTATCTCTTTCTCTGTCTCTATCTAACAGGTAGCATAAATACAGTTATACATAGTGTAAATTACCTAGGATAGCCCAAAAAATCCAGACACAGTGCCATACTATGCTTGTAGATATAAGGTATAATAAGCATGACTGGTAAGTAATATACGTTTTCACTTATTCAGGAATCAGATGTGACGACTTGAGGCAGTAAAAGTGCAGTACTTCGTGCCTCGTGCCTTCTCTGAGAGATGGCACGAGGCATTTATGCTGATTTACTTCCGATATATTCACTCCAAATGTAAGCCGGTCTCCTGACTCGGAAAAAAAAAAAAAAAAAACTCCAAGAAAATCGCTGTTGTTGCAGTATTTTCCTTATGAAAACAGTGATCTAGTGTAGTTAGCCTCATAAACACTCTGTTTTCTCTTATAATAAGACCTCAGAAGAGCAATTAATTAATTTAAATTTGCTCGTATATCAATTTTCTTCATTTCAATTAATTGAAATGCTCTTGGGAGGCAGGACAAAATACAGTGGACTCTCAGTTAACACCTACATCGGATAATGCCAAAGTCGTATAACGCCTCACTTTGGCATAAAAAAAATTGGCTCAGATAACACCTAAAAACTCAGTTAGGAGCTTTCGTCCCGAACATGTCCGCACGGCGCCCTGAGCAGGCCCGGCCACTCACCCCGAGTACCAGCCAGTGTGCCATTGTTTACAAGCCACTGAGGATGGTTCCACGCGTACATGCGCCCAAAGAAAGCTTCTAGTGCCAACCCTGCGAGGTGTACTAGCGAATTAAAAAAAGGAGATAATAGAAAAGCACGAGAGTGGAATGCGTATCTCGGAGTTGGAAAAGTTATACAACAAACCCCATTCAACCATCACTACTATCTTGCACAACAAAAAGGGAAATCTTAAAGGGATGCAAGAAACAGAGCTCTCTGGACCCCTGTCACTGTGCGACAGGGATCCAGTGACTCCCAAGCTAGTCCTAGTGGCATTAAAAAACAAAGAAGGGAGTAACCCCAGAAAAGGACTTGTTACCTGAAGTCTTTATGGAAGGGGATTTCCCTTCCATGGAATAGAACACCTGCATCATCTGCCCTCCTACTGTCTCATCACTCATCAACAATTCCAAAATAAAGGTGTCATTTCAGTAATGTTTATTGTGCATGTATCATTGTTTCCTGTGTAGGGAAATGTATATTTCATGTAAAAAAAAATTACATCTACCATCCGACTTACGACCTGCTCGACTTATGACTGCTCGACTTATGACTACTCGACTTACGACCGTGTTTTTTTTATGCCAAATTTCTGGGAAATAAACAACTATTTGTGTTGTACACAGTGTTTATCCTAAACCTTACAGTATAAAATACAGTACTAGCAGCATAAAAAGTAAAGTAAAACATGAAATACCAAAATAAAACAATAAAATAAAGTCATTACAAAAATGTTATGTTGATATTCAGTAGAAAAGTTCGACTTACGACCATTTCGACTTACGACCGGTTTCTCGGAACCGAACTCGGTCGTAAGTAGGATGGTAGGTGTATTTTGTTTAATACTTTAGGGTGTCTGGAACGGATTAATTGGATTTCCATTATTTCTTATGGGGAAAATTAATTCGGTTAAAAGCTAAATCGGTTAAAGCCTAGCTCTCTGGAACGGATTAAAGGCATTAACTGAGGGTCCACTGTACTTCAATATAAAGCTAATATCAACTCTGAGGCTTATTTATCTATCACAATTGATCTAATATGACATAATAAACAAAATAAATAACACAGAAAAATGTTATATACTCTAGAATAAATATGTCATTATGTGATGAGTGGTGGCGGCCATTGCCACTGCTGCACTGACCATGTCTTCCCATTCTTCCCCTTCTGAAAACAGTGTGTTTGTGAGGCTAACTGCATTAGATCACTAGATTCATAAGGAAAACATTGAAACAACAATGTATTTATAAATAAGAAATATTGTATAAAAACATAATAAAACATAATAGAGAATGTAAAGAAATAAAATGGGTTTATAAAGTGTGCGTACATATTTACGTACCTTGGAGAAGAGATGGTGGCGAAGGCTGAGGGTGGAAGATGGGCAGAGCAGCATATGCTGTTAGTGGCCCTATAAGCCCCAACAACAACAACACTGGAGGAGTTTGTTTCATTTCGTCTTTTTTCTATCGCTTAATCGCTTAACTTACTTGCTACACTCTTAATGCTACACTTTATCGCTGAACCTAACTGCTACAATTTGTTTTATTGTAGAAGTACTACGTATGTTGCGTATTAGGAATTATTCAACTAGACTCAAAAAATATAAAGATTATTACTGAAGAAGAAACAACTTGTGTAATGGGTATAATCCATAAACATCCAATTCTTATTTCTAGTTTGTTGGCATATTATAGGGTAGCAATGTGGCAGATGTTGCAAGTGTATGGAATAGGTCGTGTAAATTACTAAACGCTGTAAAAAGTTTTTATGAGGATAGTGAGGCTCAGGTTAGGGTGTGTATGAGAGAGGGTGATTACTTCCCAGTAAAAGTAGGGATGTGTAATGTCACCATGGTTGTTTAACATATTTATAGCTGGTGTTGGGGAGAAGGGTAGAATTAAATTATGGGGAATCAAGTACAAAATGGGAGTTGCCACAGTTACTTTTTGCTGTTGATATTGTGCTTTTGGGAGATTCTAAAGAAAAGTTGCAAAGGGTAGTGGATGAGTTTGGGAGGGTGTGTAAAGGTAGAAAAGTTGAAAGTGATCACAAATAAGAGTATGATGCTGAGGGTATCAAACAATTTAGATAAAGAAAAATTGGATATCACATTGAAGGGAGGGAGTGTGGAAGAAGTGAATGTGTTTAGATATTTGGGAGTTGACTTGTCAGCAGATTGGTTTATGAAGGATGAGGTTAACCATAGTATTGAAGGAAAAAAGCTGAGTGGTGCTTCGAGGTACCTGTTATGACAAAAAAAAAAAACATTATCCACGGAGGCAAAGAAGGGAATGTACGAGAGTATAGTGGTACCAACACTTTTATATGGGTGTGAAGCAT